GGCAGTGACGATGGCAACGATGGTATTGGTTTCATGAGAGGTTGATGTTAGTGGTATATTATGAAATTGATGTTGGTGATGCTATATGGGGATGGAAATTTTAAGAGCAAAGAGCGAGGGAGTGACATAACACTCAGCTAGGCTAGGGTGTAAAAAACTGGAGAGAAGATTTGAGAACAGGATAGGAAATGCAGTATATATGGAAGGGAATGGGAAAATGATGCTTGAACAATTTGGATCCCAAATCTCTTTATAAAGGACTTATATGTGCCCTATATCTCAACGTGCAAAGGACTTACTTTCATATGTCCAGGTGCCTGTTATACACTTTGCTACCAGGTAAAATGATATTAGGATCCATATAGCTGCAAGCCATCATGCTGTTGTGCCTCATGAATGTATACTGTATCCAGAATTTTTCTTGATAAAAGTTTGATCCATTATTCCTGATGAAAACTTGCTTGTCCCTCTTGCCAGGTCTTCAACTGTTTTGGGCAGTATTTCTGCTTGCATTTCGAGGCCTTCCAGCTAGGGATGGCTCCTGTGTACATGGCATTTCTTCGGTTCATGGGAGATGAGAACGACGCTAGAAATTATTGCTACAGCCTCGAGGTTGGAGCTAATGGTAGGAAGCTCATATGGGAAGGCACCCCTAGGAGCATCAGAGACAGCCACCGCAAAGTCCGGGACAGCCATGATGGCCTCATAATCCAGAGGAACATGGCTCTATTCTTCTCTGGAGGTGATAGGAAGGAGCTGAAGCTGAGGGTCACTGGAAGAATATGGAAGGAGCAGCAAAACCCCGAGTCAGGAGTTTGTATACCAAATCTTTGTAGCTAATCTGCGGCGTTTACTTCAAGTCTGTGTAATAGTGCACCTCTTGTGTTTGGATGTTGTTATATTGAGTCAGGAGTTTGTACACCGATCTTTTGTAGCTAAAGTGAGATGATGTTCAAACCACTCCCGTTTAGCTTTTGTTTGTTTCTCAACTTACAGCCAGAATGAGATGGATGTACAAACCACTCCTCCCTGTTTATTTCTCAGAGTTGTAAGCGCCTAATATTGTCACTTTTCTGTGTGGATGTTATCAATATCAAGAACCATCGATGCTCTTTAATCTGTATAGGAGGTTTTGGTTTATGCATTTGGCTGGAAGCATACGAAGGTCTGCAAGACATATGAGTTGATAAAAATTTCCTTCTGTTAGATGTGAAGTATGGTTTTGTGTCGGTATATTCTATATCCGCTGCCTTGGTTTCTGTATGGACTGTATTTGTACTGTTGCTTATTTTGGGTTGAGATCACGATCAATTCTTCTGCTCATTTACAGCAGTGCTTTGCCAACGACAGCAAACTATCTGCCATGTAGAGCATTTTTCTTGTTCCGTCGAGTTTCGACCTTGAGATTGAAATGTACGGTTGAAGGCATTGTCCCGGGACAAACGCATTTAAATTCATAACATTAAATACGTATCAAATGAATGTCAATTATTGAATCCTCGGACTTCAAGTTTCATGCACAGATCTTAGAGCTTATATCTTTTGGGTGTATATTTGATGTCATGAAGTATTTCTACTGGACATTTTCAATAGGTAAGTTAAGACTATTGGTGCAAACTCTGATGCAATTATATTTACTCGCTTCCAAAGTTTAGTGGATCTTCCAAATTTCTCTGGTGCCTGGCGTGGCCTAAGTAATAGTAGCAACAGCATGCGGTAACTTGATGGAAGCAGCAATTGATGCTAAGAAAGATTGCAGGTTCTGTACCATATTTTGCCCAAAAGAAAACGCAATCAAACTTCATTTGTTAATTAGTTCCCATGAATCCCAAAGTGAAAAATCCTGAACCCAAACATTACCAAAATTTCATTTCTGGTAGTTAATTTTCTATAACGTGTCCTCAGGTCATATATTAATAAGCATTAAATGCTCCTCAACTATCTCCATTATTATAGAAAGATGCTCAAAGTTCAATGATTTTGATTTTTACCTAAAGAGTGATAATTCTAATCATCTGCATGCAACAGCTTAATATATTTTTAACAAAAGCAGGGCAAACACATTTTTCTATTATAGTGAAAGCAAGCACATTTTTCTATGATAGTGAAAGCACCCAGGACCTATTTAACGGTTCTTAAGATGTACTTATGGAAGTCATGCAGTTAACTGAATTCCATACATTAACAGCAAATGAAAATGCAAGCTTTAATAAATTAGCAGTGGCAAGACAAGAACTCGATCCATCAATTAAGAAGCTGTTCTGTCAACTATTAACCATTTGAGGTAAACTTGCAATCTATTACATATTGATACACTTTTTTGGGGTCCAATTAAAGGGTTCGTTTATTCACCTTTCAGGCTTTCACAGGTACCTATCATAAATAATCCACACTTCACATTTCAGTAACACAATCCTCAACATAAAAGAAACGTTCAGGCTGAAAAATGATTAGATATAACAAAATTCATCTTGAAATATTGCCTCAGGAAATTAACAATATATGCGCCTGTAACGTGGATTTCGTCTTTCTGTGAACTAAGTGTTCGATGTAGGAACACAGAGCATTCTTCATTTATGAAATTCAAGAAACTGTAGAGCCAGAGGAAACCAAGTGTATAACTGGCTGCATTCTATAGCACGGATCAAGTGGAAGCATTCTTATCATGAGATAAAAATAAGCCAATTATTGTCATAAAAATGATAGCTTCCTCGACTCACGCAGAGGATGAAAGTCAACAAGCCAGTTGAGCATTAACCAAGGAGTCAAGTACACCACAAGGCTGCAAGACAAATGGGGGGTTACGGCTCACGCTTTCAAATGTTGGAAGCATCACTACTGCTAACGTGATTTCAGTTCAAGTTTATGGTTGACCTCAACATTAGAATCTCCTGAGCAGCATTGGAAAATGATACATAATACGTATGCATCTTCATAGCAGATAATCAATTTATCCAGCTGGTTGACCTATCTAACACACAAAATTATAGAACTTCGCGAGACAATCTAGCACTTCACCTCACCAATAAAAGCTTCAATAGCACTATAGCATGGTGATGGCCAAAAATTCATGACCTAAGTTCTGTCTCCAATTGATTCACTAGGTTCCTCTCAATTCTCATTCTAGTAGGCTCTGCCGGATTAGCTGGTGATCTAATTGAAAATGCAACAGACTATGCATTTGGGTTTCATGCAACTTGAAGTCCCTTGCTTGCTAGAGATATCCACATGCAGCCTTCAAGATGGGAATTCAGGCTGATTGTTCCTTCCCTAATTCATCAACAATTATCACTAAGTAAACTGCAACCTACATTGCGCTGATATGGAAGCGTGATAGCCGATAGGCATACAACAAGGTAACATGGATTTGATCATCCTAAAAAAAATTTCTGGATAGGGTAATACCGTAATATTGTTTATATAATGAATAAAGCACGCAGTGAGAATAAAATGGATGAAAGAAACATTATAGCTAGATACTATGGAAATAAATCTCTCGGTAACATAAACAAACTATGCGAACAAATTATGACAAAAGAAACTTATAGTACTAACATACTTTAAAAAGCGTCTCATATAACCCAAAGAAAAAAAAAAGAAAACCAACATACATTATGCCTAACTAATTAGCAATGTCAGAGAATGTACTGCAGATCGTAATGGATGGAAACATACTAAACTAAGCCTTCATTTTTAACACTTATCGACTTCAAAGCTTGCAACAAACAACATGAAGGAGTAACTCTCTGGTAAAACTTCTCATATGCTGATAAGCACACAAACAGACCTACATGAAGCTGACTTTATTCCTCAAGGTCTCAATATAAATTCTGCAATTGGGTCCGAACTCATGAAGATGTTACCTGTTCGGCAGTCTCCCCAGTTTCATTCTTTGGTTCTTCTTCCTTCAAGGTCTGAGGTTCCCCACCTCCATTTTCAAGTACTTTATCGCTATAAGCTCTTAAAGAACTAGAGGCAATAGGTCCAGCCTCCTCTTCCTTTGCTTCTTTGCTCTGGAGCAATTTCTTCTGTCCAGACATTAACTCGATAGCTGCAGCACTAGCTCTAGCAGCAGCTGCCTCCTTAGCAGCAGCCTCTGCCTTCTTCTTCTCCTCTTCTTCCCTCGCAAGAGCCTCAGCTCTAGCCTTCTCTTCTTCTGCTCGGGCCAATGCCTCAGCCTTCTCTCTCTCCACCTCTTCATACAACTTTCCCATATCCTCCTCTCTCCCTTCTTTCCTCAATGCCTCCTCCACAAGCTCCTTCATATCATCACTGAAGCTCAAATTCTCATCTAGCAGTATCCCTTTAACCGCCTTAAGAGCATCATCCAACCTCCCAGCCTCAACAAAAGCCTTGGCCAACATCTCATAACTCAACAAATTCGGTTTCACCTCCTTCTCCACCATCAAATCAAAGAACTCCCTCGCTTCATCCAGTCTTCCAACATTCACTAATCCTCCCATTACCTTATTATATGAATTCGCATTAGGCTTCAACCCCACTTCCACCATCTTTCTAAAATACCCAATCGCATCATCAACTCTATCCACCCTGAAACAAGCCTCCATGAGCAAAACATAAGTGTACTCGTCGGGGTTAATCTCTCTCTCGCCCATCTCTCTATAAAACTCCTCAGCCTCTGCAACCATCTTATTCTCCCCAAGCTGCTGAATAAGATTATTATACGACAGGGTATCCGGGGTGCATCTTTTCTCCTCCATTTTCCTAAAGACCTCAATCGCATCATCAAACCTCTCGGCAGCGCAATACCCATCAACCATCACATTAAAGCTCCCCAAATTCACTGTGAGCTTCCTCGGAGGATAATGCTCACCCATCATCCTACCAAACAACCCGATGGCCTCCTCCAACTTCCCATTCTTCGTCAGAGCCTCAAGCACCAAATTGTAACTCACAGCATTGAATCTAACCTTCGACCCCTCTCCCAAAACCTCTTCATAGACCCCCATTGCCTCAGCCTCCATCCCCTTCTTGAAATACCCTTTCATCAGATTCCCATACACAATCCCATCCTCGACCTGCCCTCCTCCCATCTTCTCCTTCATCTCTTCAAACAGCTCAATAACCCTATCGGGTTCCTCCTTCTTGACAAAGCCCGACATTATGAGGTTATAGACGGCAGCGTCAGGCCCACAGAAGCCCTTGTCAATCATCTCGTCCTTGAGCTCCACGGCCTGATCGATCTTACCATTATCAACCAGCCCTTTGGTGAGAATCCTATACGTCGTCGGCGAGGGGTTGATGGGGGCATCGTCCTTGACGAGGAGACGATAGTGCTCGAGGGCCGTGTCAAGCAGGAGGTTGTGGGTGATCACGGTGGGGGCCACCGACGCCTGGGTGATGAACCGGTGGAGGGAAAGCAAGTCAGAGTATCGGGATTGCCTGAGGAGCGCGTGGAGAACGGCGTTGCAGGTGAAGATCGTCGGCTTGCAGTTGGAATAGATCGAGTGACGGACCAAAAGCGAGGCCTCGTCGAGATCGTTGACCCGGATTAGGTTTAGGATCTCGTTGTGGAGGTTGAGGCGTTTGCCGGCGAGGGCGGAGAGGGGTTCGGGGATCTTGGGGGCGTTAGGGTTTATAGGGGTTTTGGAGGGGATGCGCTGCTGTTGAGGCTGGGGGGGGGGGGGGGGGGGAGGGTTGGTGCGGAGGCGGCGCTTGCGGCGGCGGCGCTCGGAAGCGGGCTCTTCGGGGGTGACGAAGGAGAGGAGGCGGGTGAAGGAGGTGCTTAGGGTTAGGGTTTTGAGGTGGAAGAAGAAGAGGGGTTTTGAGAGAGCCATTTCTGGGGATGCGAGGGTTTTGGGTTTGGATCGATGGGGTTTTGTGAGGGATTTTTTTTGTTGGGGGGACGACTGGGCCGGGATGGCGTTTGGATGGACGGCGGGGATTGAATTTGTTGGGCTTCTTTGCATATGGGCTCCAAATGTTTGTATAATTGCGTAAGGATGCTTCCTCCGGGGTTTGTTATTCCTCCGGGGTTTCTTAATAACAAACCCCGAGATCTTTCATATTTTCTATTTGCCCCCCACACCTTAATTATTTGAAATTAGCCCCCGGAATCTCGTAACAATGTTGAAATTAGCCTTGCGGCTAGACAATCCGTCCAGATCCATTGATGATAAGAGGTTAATGGGTGTAGAATACTGATAGCCATACATGACCAATCACCAAATTACCTCTCCTTTTATTTCCTCCGAAACTTAGATCCCCTCACTCTTACCATTAGTCTCGCTTTATGATAGGGTTGTCCATCCGGGTCCGTCCGGGCCGAGCAAAACCGAAGTCCGGACCCGGGCCCGGGCCTGAGTGGGTCGGGCTCCGTTTTTTTTTTAATTTTTTTTAATTTTTTAAAATTTTTAAAAATCCCCATAAATCATAAAAATTATAGAAAATGACATAAATTTTTTAACTATGAAATGACATAAATTACAAGTACAAAAAATTATAAAAATAAAAGATGATAAAAATAAATTCTTTATTAATAATCAGTAAATCCTTTACAAGTATAAATTTATTTTAGAATTTGTCGCATCACAATAGATGGGTACATCCCAATTAGGTTGGCACCTACTCACCTATATCACTATCATTTATAACTTTTTCCGAAATAATTCATTGCAAATTTAAAGCTAAGAAATAAAAAATACAATTTGATGAATATTATCTAATCTTTATACCTATCTGCTAGTCCCAACTCTTTAAATTTATCTTCAATTTCAGTCATCCGATTGATGCCTTGTGTTCGCTTCTCGTACATTCACCAATCTTGTAAGCACATCACCGCTTGTATAGTATACGGATCTAAGCATGTCCTGTGGTCGTCGATCAAACGTCCTGCTGTGCTAAGGCGGATTCCGAAGCTACCGTCAAAACCTGCACTGATAGTAAGTCACGAACCATGGTGGAAAGTATAGGATATGAAACCGATCCATATACTCTCCACCATAGTAAAATATCTAAAGCATTTCCTTAACATTTAACTAAGAAAGCAGAAAAATATTCATCTAATTCAGAAACCTCTAATCCTGAACCAATTCCAGATCCACCAGTTAGTTCAGCTATCATTGCATATCTATTAAAACTTACACTTTTACCTCGACCTGTGCTCAAAGGTGCCAAAGCTATAGACTGTTGTGCAGCTACACCATGTCTAGCTGCATACTTATCATATAATGTTTAAAAATAATTTCTAATAGCTAAATGATGAGAAGTAGCAGTAAGGGTAGATTCATCATCTAAGTCTATAATCTGTCCACCATATAATAATTGTAACAAACTTCGAAGGCCAATATCCTTCAAACATGGATCAATAAGAATCCCCAAACCAAAAATATAAGGATAGGCCTAAAATACTTATTAAATTTGCTTTCCATTTAAAAAATTATAGATCCAAAAGTATCATCCATACGATATTTTGAAAAAAAAACTTTTGAATATTTAAAATTTTTAAAGCAGCTAAAGTAATTATTGGATAATAACAGCCAGATAATAACATTGTAGCATCATAAAAGACTTGTAACATCTCATTTAAATTACATATAATTGTCCATTCATCTTCAGTTATTCCATAACTACTACCAGAGCTAGAACTAGAAGCATAAAAATTTATAAAATCATTTATAATTTCTTTATATTCTATTGCTACACTTAACATTGCATAGGTGAAATTCCACCTATGGTCAACATCTTTTAGAATTAGTCTGGGCCTATAATTTTTTTCTTTTATAACATTGTTTCTATCTATTAATTCTCATTTCAGAAACATTATGCATATTAGCAACAGTTCTAACCTTTTCTATCATGGGTTTAATTTCAGAAAATACACTTTGAACAATTAAATTTAAAATATAACAGATACATCTAATATGTAAAAGTTCACCATGACATGGCAATGACATAGTTCTTTTGATAAAATCAACAGCTATAAGAGAAAATATTATTTGATCAATTTCTAGTTTCATAAGTTCTTTAATTATTAAATTTGTAACATTAAAACCAGTATGTGACTTTTCAATTGCAATAAAAGAAATAACTCTTTTAAACATTTACCAATTTTCATCAATCCAGTGTGCTGTGATACATAAATAACCAGTTTGTACTCTAGATGTCTAAATATCAGAAGTTAAAGAAAATTTACAGTTTAAATTTTTAAAATAGGAAATTATTTTCCCTTGTTCCTCCTGATAATATTTTAAAATATCACATTCACAGGTTTGACGAGAAAATTTGGTAAATACAGGATAAAAACCATCTCTAAACAAATCTTCAAATTCATCATCTTCTACTAATCTAAAAGGAAGGTTTTTAAGAACGATAAACCTGATTACGCATTTCCTGGCTCGGGGCAGCGTCATAACTCCAACTACCGAGACTACCGGAGGAGGAGGATTGAGAAATCATAGATTGTCGGATATCACCTTGAAGATTCTGGCCTTTGTTGTGTTTTTCAATATGGCGTTTGAGGTGATTGGTGCCGCTCTTATGACGAGCTTGGAAAATCTGGCCGCACAACGCACATTTAGTCTTCTGGGTGATGATCCTACCGTGTTCATCCTTGGTGACGTCTATCTTCTCAAAAAAAATCCACACATCGGATCTCCGCCTTTTAGGAGCTCTTGGTGTAGATTCGTCACCACCAGATTCAGGATTAACACCGGTACGAGGAGTAGTTGTTGTAGGAGGACTCATTTCTGGATCAGCAGGAGATAGATTTTGCTCTTCATATTCAGATCCAGAAGCCATTTGATGGAAGTATTAGAAAATATAAGAGATTATAAGAGAGTATAGTATTGTATAAGAGAGTATTAGAGAGAAGTAGAAAAGTTTTGGTGTGAGGAGAAGAAGTAAAAACCCTCCTCTATTTATAGAGGCAGCCCTCTAGGCAAATGACCAAAAAAACTCTCACATTTTGACCGTTGTTGGGGGCAAAATGGTCAAAACCCTGTTTTGGCCGTTATGGCCTGGCCAAGTCGGCCTGGCCCGGCCGTTTACTACAAACGGTCACCTTCTGGTGACTGTTTCATCTGGACCGGTCCTAGGCCTAGGCGACCCGGCCCGGATCTCGTACCCGCCCCGTGCCGGGCCGGTGCCCGGGCAGCTTTTTGGACAGCCCTACTTTACGGTGGCGAATAATATCAGCCATGTTGGATATAATGTTGTTGAGAAGAGTGCTTATGGCTGG